AATAAAAAAGAAAAAAGAAACAAATAAAAAAAAGAAAACCAATAATGAAAAAAATATAAAAAGGAAAAAATATATATATATTGGATAAACTAGTTAAAAAACGTTAAAAAAGAAAAGGGTAAAAGTTTAAAAAAATTTAGCAGAAGAAGAGAAAAAAATTGAAAAAGAAAAAAAAATTAAATTAACTGCAAGGCTAAAGAATCATGGGGAGAAAGCCATGAGTTCCGTGCTTTGCTTTCTCCTCCTCTGGAATTCCGCTGCTCTCCTTGGTATTGAAACCGCACTCCTCGTAAGTGAACTTGGTCCTGGCTGGGTTTCTTGTTGATCTTCTGGGGGAGGGGCCTGTTGTAGTGATTTTCAAGTGTCTTTGCCCCAGGCGGAGTCGCACCGCCCTTACCAGGGCCCGGGCTGAGTAATCCGCTCGGGTTTGCTTTCGGGAGCTTTTGTTCCCTGAGCACTTTCCGTAGAGTCCGGAGGACGGGAAGGAAGATGGTGGCCTCCCAGTCTCCGGCCCGGAGGAGCCGAGAGCTAGGGGTCCCACTCCTCAGTGCACCCTCAGGGAACAGCGTCCAATTACTCCCGTCTGCCTGGCCTCCGGCTGCGCTCCGAGCTCACCGAGCCTGCGACCGGTTCAAGGTAAGCCCGAGCTGTGAGCTCACTCCTCGGCTCCGTCTCTGTAGCCGGCTTCCCTGTTCTAATACCTGCGAGCTCTGCGACACTCAGACACCCCGATCCTTCTGTGACCCTGCGGGACCTGAGGCCACACTGGCCCCGCGTGGGCTTCACCCCAGTTAAGCCTCTGGAGCGATGTCCCTCAGCGGAACAGACTTTTAAAAGTCCCGATTTTGTGCTCCGTTGCTCCGCCGCTTGCCGGGAGCCGGCCCCTCCCCCCGGGGTCTGTCTTCCCGTCCCTTTGGATTCACTTCTCCGCCAGTCCTACCTTTCAGCAAGTGGTTGATTTTCTGTTTCTAGAATTGCTGTTCTTCTTCTCTTCGATCTCCCGTTGGATTTGTAGGTGTTTGCAATCTTTAGATAAGCTATCTAGCTGATCTCCCGCAACCTGAAGTAGTCTCAGCTGCCACTTCTCCGCCATCTTGACTCCTCCCTCCCAAAGAGGGCTTCTTAATGGTTTTATTCCTTAGTCATATTTGTCCTAGGAACTACCTCTATTAATGTAAAATTATAAGTAGAGACTTTAGCCAAGCATACAGTGACCATCTTTAAGCATGACATGGCAGTCACCAACAAATTCAAAAGGTGGCCCTCTAAAACTGAATAGGCCTTGATATCTTAACACCAGTTAAAGGATGCCCAAAATTATATGACTGGGTCCTAACGAAACCCACTGACTATGTATCTCTAACTTGTGTCCCAGGCTGAATAGGTTGCCTTACTTTGGGTTTCGCCTGAATGCATAGACACATTATTAAAATCATTACCAACCCAGCCAATCTTCCAAATTTAAAACAACAGTGGACATGTTTTGTGTTACATTGGTATGACCACCTAGCATCCATCTTTGTTCCCTCTTTGAGACTGGAGGATGTTTTGCACATGGAAGCTCTTAATTTGTACATGGTCAAAGCCCTAAAGGACACTCACAATAGCATTTCTCCATTAAATACTGAAGTAATACATATGCACGAACCAGTTTTACAATATAGAATGGCATTAGATACTTTCACTGCTACATTAAGGTGAAACTTGTGCTAAAATAAAAACAAAATGCTGTTTATACATTCCAGATTACCACAAAAATATATCTGGGTTTCTAAATGAATGGATCCTCAAATTAGCACTTTAAATGATCTCTCTTTCCTTTAGTGATTGCTTTAATGTAATTTTCCTGGACTGGAGGAAAATTATCAAAGGTCAACTATCAAAGCTCTTTTATTCTGATTTCTCTTTCTCATTACAATATTAATCTTACTCTGTTACTTCTGGTGTCTCCCTGCCTAGTGTCAAGACTCCTTCACTGCCTAACTTCCAGCTGACAGATGATCCTTTCTACTCATGGAGGTTCATATATGTTGACCACGTTGGATTCAGCTGCCTCCCCCTTTTGTATCTCCTCTATATGCTCCAAAACTGACCAATACAGACCCATAGGTAGGGACATTTCCACACCCCATTCAGCAGGAAAAAGTTACAGAAGATGAGACCTTCCATTTTCAACATATTTAAGGGTCAAAACTGTTCGTGGGGAAAATGATGAGAGAGCAGAAGGCTTGCTGAGGACAAAGCATAAGCAGACACTCCGCCATCTGCCCTCTACCACACTCCTCAGAAGACTATGTGACACATTCTTCCAGGAAGCTCCTAACTATCTTAATGTTAATGCCTTGCTAGAGGGAAAAACAACCTTAATTTGACACGGGCAAGGCCTCCCGCCCCTCCCTAATCTCGTAGGTCCTCATTAGCATATGAAAGTTCTTTCTAAATCCTCCCATTTCCCCTATTTCTCCCAACCTCACAGTATATAATCAATTGCTCCTCACAACCCCAGTACAGGTCTTTCTGCCCATTGGTCCTGTCCTGTCCAAAAAAACAAGTAACAAAACAAACAACAACAAAAAAGAAATACATGTAGTAAGGTACTGGATACTTACTCGATTGTTTTTTCTGACAGCAGAAATAAATGGAAATGAGAAAGGCAATGATATAGTAAAAATGAAATGTAAAAAGGGAAAGAAAAATATGAATAGAATGGAAATAAAGGCTGAAGATGCACGGTATTTTGTGATGTACCTTGAAGCCAGTCTACACCTTCTTGCAATCCTTCTCCTTTTATGGCATCACTAGCACTGAAATAAAATCCACAAGAAACATATCCATTTCATTACTTCATAGAACCATAAGAATAAATAATTACAATTTTGCTATATGGCAAATTAATATAGTCTAATAACATATATTTGAGCAAAACTTGGTAAGCGCTGAAACTGAATATAAACAGGAAAAAGTCTGAGTGCTCAGAAAAGACATGAGAAATTTATTCATGATTTATAATAGACATTTGGAAAAGTGTTATCACTAAAAAGTTATTATTCTACTTTGCCCAGCTCCAGTGGCTCAATAACATTTATCCATTAGAAATGCTTGACTTAGGTTGTAATTTAGGCACCTGACGGAGTGACTTTATTTGAAATGGAATTTTATAAGGTATAAACCTGTAATTATAACTTTGGTAAACTGGTAGAATAAAAAAAAAATCTCAGATTTCAATCATATCCTTATATCTAATGGCTTCAGGAAACTGGACAGGCTATTTAACTCTCTGCCTTTATTTGTAGCATCTATAAAATGGTGTTAAATAAACTAAAATAATAAAATGCAGAGGATTTTTATACTATCAGATGTTTTTCAAAGACATAGACTGATAGCAATTAGTATAAATAATTGGATTTTCTCAATGATTAGGGCTCCTTTAAGTGTGTAGCTAGTTACCTGAATAATTAATTTGATTCTAATCAAAACAGAAATTACTTCCAAGGAATTAGATTATGAATATGACTTATAATAGAATTATTTTAAAATAGAAAGACAGAAATCAACAGCATGTGATATATAATTATTCAAAGTAAATTATAGGTTATCCATATCAGCAGCAAAACATTAGTAACTGAAATGCTTAAATCAAGAAAGATCAATGTATTGATTTTTATCACACACTTATAGTTCCAAATAAGACTAAGGTCTCAACCAAACAAGTAATAAAATGGAAAAACTTGTCCCCTTTACTGGTGGCATTAGTGCCATACTAAAAACCCTGCATCTTTTCCTAATAATTCCCAAATGTTTGAATTCTACCTTTCCTTTTGAATACATCATCAGACCTGTAACTAGAATAAATGCCAAAGTCTTTACCATGTCCTACTAGGACCTGTGTGATATGGCCTATGGCTATTTCTCAATGGCCTCATCTCCTACAACTTCCCCCTAGATCTCCCTCCTCAAGCCAGCCTGCACTCCTTGCTACATACTCCTCGTACATTCTCATCTACGAGCATTTTCACTTGGCTGGCCTCTCTGTCTGGCAAGCTACTCCTCCAAACTTTTGCATGAATTTCTCCCTGACTTCTGTTAGATTTCACAGAGAGAGCACCTCTCATTCTTTCTCTTATTGTCCCACTTTACTTTTCTTCATCCTTCCAGCTGATATTTTATGTATCTATTTATCTGATTTGTTATCTGTTGCCCTCATAGGAGAGTAAATAAGCAAATATGTATATACATATTGTGCCAGGGACTTTGTCAAAGAACTTTAAAAAAAAAAAAACATTAACAAAATCAGAGCCTGAAAATCAGAGTTGGCTATATATTTAGTACAATGATTAAAAATAAAGCACAAAAATTTTCATTTTTCTATAATCTTTATTGTCCAGTAAATTTACTTGCACTTACGGCAAGAGAGATAGAATATTTTATATGGGGGGGCGCCTGGGTGGCTCAGTGGGTTGAAGCCTCTGCCTTCGGCTCAGGTCATGATCGCAGCGTCCTGGGATCAAGCCCCGAACTGGGCTCTCTGCTCAGCAAGGAGCCTGCTTCCTCCTCTTTCTCTGCCTGCCTCTCTGCCTACTTGTGATCTCTGTCTATCAAATAAATAAAAATCTTTAAAAAGAAAAAAAAAAAGAATATTTTATATGCACACTGTTACCTTTATTTCTAAAACTGGGAAAGAAAAATAAGTGTATTTTCAATTTTATACATGCTTTAAAAAAATAACAAAAAAATTAAAAAACAAGCTTAACAAATGAAACACTAGAAATTAGTGAGATACTATTTGAATAGTCAAAATTATAAACAACTTCCAAAGAAATACTTGGCATTCTTCTATAAGTTATACAGAAAACATAGGAATCTGGCAATGTAATACTACACAACCTTATAGCATGAGGACATTACCTTTTCTCTCACTGAGAAGTATTTAGATATCACAAGTGAATAAAGAAATCTGTTAAAATTCAACTGCTGATGATTTTAAGTAGAAAGAGATTTTTTTCACTTGCAAAATTAATTTCTATTTCAAAATTAAAAATAGGACTGCATCTTTTACTATAAATTAGACCTATAGTTTTTAATGTTGTACTTTCTATCAAACAATGCTTAATACAATGCAAAAATAAAAACTATTCTACTTTGAGCATTACTAATTTAGGTATGATTTAGAGAGAAATACTAAGGTTCACCTTAAGATACTTCTCTACCTAAAATCCCTCCTTTCTTTACCAGAACCACAATTCTAAATAAAAAGACATTTCATAAAATTGACTCTTCTGATTCCAAAGTAAGGAGGATTTTACTCGAGATATGTATATAGGGTTTCACTCCTGGGTAAAGGAGCTGGTGGCCCTGAGTGACTGAGGCTTTTCAAGGGCTTTCTCAGGCTCTCATCTAAGTTCTTTTTTGAGCTCTAGAATCTCCATTCCGTATTCTGTTTCTCTTCTAGGGGTAGTATACTTTTCTACCTCTTTATTAGGGCTTTCTCCATAAATACCTTCTTTTAAAAAAGGGAAAACTGGCAAGAGAAGGACATCTTGTAGCAGAGGGAGTAGGTAGGTGGATAGAAAGAAGCTTAAATTAATATAAGGTAGGCACTAAAATACTACCTAATATATAACTTTTGGTTATCCTTATTGGAATATTTTGGCAAAAAGGCACACCAGAGTTAAATATATCCATGAGACACTGCTTTCCAAATAAACAATGTATAATAATTTCAGATACTAAACACTGAAGAGTTCAACTGTATTAGTATATCCAAATAAAATTAATATTTACATTTCTATATACTCATATACACCAGTATTTGTTGTGTACATGATAAGTATCTGGAACTATTATCATACTAGAGGTTACAGAGTGAACGAAACTGATAAAATGCCAGCTCTCATGGTACTAATGCAGTAGTATAGGAATACAGCCTATAAAACAAGCAAAACCCAAAGAGGACATGGCAAGAGAAATATAAAGCAAAGCATATAAAAAAAACAAGAGACGGGGTAAGATATAATGATATTTTGGAGGGTTATGAGGAGAGGTTTCCTGAAGGAAGTACAAGAGCAAGCCAGGAAAATCACTTTGGAGACTGATTCATACAAAGGGATTAACAAATACAAAAGTCCTGAGATGGGATTGTGGTTGGCGGATTCAATGTACAGAAGGAAATTCGTGGGCTTGAAACTGGGTAAGTGGGCTAGATCTTTTAAAGAGTTGTTTCTATTTCATATCCTCAGAAAGATTTGAAAAGGTTTTTTTTTTGTTGTTTTGTTTTTTTAAGATTTATTTAAGTAAACTCTACACCCACTGTGGGGCTGAAACTCACAACTCTGAGGTCCATAGCTGCATGCTCTGACTGAGCCAGCCAAGCAGGCCAAAATTGGAAAAAATTTTAACAGTAATATATTCATGAATATCTGCACTGCTATAATTCTATACGACTAAATCCTTGGCTTACATCCTATCATGTTAGGTGTCTTACACATAAGCTTAGCAAAGAACTGAAGCTCGGAGATTTTTTTTAGAAGGCTGTAATGAAGAATAAGTATAAAACATTACCAAATATGCCATGGTTTATCTTTGATGTTCTCTAAACACAGCAGCTGAGACACTTTTACAGACGTCACTGCATCTCTAAGATCCATTTTGTTTGCAAAAAATAAGATTGGTATTCGGCGGTGCTTAATATCTAAAAGACAAAATAAGACTATCATCACCCTTTCAGCTTTTTGGTCATTTCCCCAAATTCTTCAAATTAAAATTCACTAAAACTATTTTCCAACAACTTCTTTCTGTACCACATATACACAAACATTTAAAAACATATACTGTCAAGAATGTATCTGAATGACAGGAGAATTAACAAAATAGTTTTTCTTAAGACTATCCACCCTCTGGGATGCCTGGGTGGCTCAGTCCGTTAAGTGTCTGACTTTGGCTCAGGTCATGATCCCAGAGTCCTGGGACAAAGTCCCTCATCTGGCTCTCTGTTCAGGGAGCCTGCTGCTCCCTCTGCTTGTTTCACTCTCTCTTGACAAAAAAAAAAAAATAAATAAAAGACACCTGCCCTCTGGTTGGAGCTTTAAAACAAAGATGAGTGAGGTGGGAGTTGGGGCTCAGTAAGCAGTTACTGAGAAGTACCTACACAGGGATCAAATATTTTGTTTTGTTTTTACTGTCAACAGAAAGGAGTCAAACTTCAAATGAAAGTAGAAGGGAGACAAACTAGATCTTGATTTTAGATTTAGACACTCGTTAGAAGTGACAAACTAGATATTTTAACAAGATATTTTACTTTGTTAGAACTCTGGAAACATTTTTCATTGTTTTGAATAGTTAATTCATTTAAATAGTTCAAAATTCAGATGACACAAAATGGTATACAGTAAAAGAATTTCCCTCCTACCTGTCCCAGGCCATCCACTAGTTCTCTCTAGAAGAGTTAACGTATATCACCTATTACCTGGCATCTTTTTAGAAATATTTTCAAACACTTATTACATATTATTCTTTATACAAATAGTAGCAGACTATTCAGTTTGATATCTCCTGCTTTTCACTTACTATCATATTTTGGAGCTTGTCCCATACCAGTACATAAAGAGCAGTTTCTTCACTATTTTAACAGTTGTAGAATATTCTGCCTGTTAGTACTATGTACCATAATTTGTTTAATCAGTACCCAGTGAGATATACTTGTATTGTTGCCAATATTTAAATCTATAAACAATGCTGAAATGAATAAAAGTGTACACCGCAAATTTTGTACATGGGCAGTATGTCTGGTAGGATAAATTTGGGAAGTAGAATTGATAGTTAAAGGATATGTAAATTGCTATTTTGATAGTGATTACTGCGAGGCCTTCCTTTAAAAATGTATCAATTTATATATCAACAATAATGTGTAAGAATGAACATTTCCAGTACCCTTGCCAAGAGTGTTATCAAACCTATTGATCTTTTTATGATGGTGGATAGGTAAAAAGTATTATCAGAATATGTTTACTTTGTTTTGAGAAAGGTCAAGAATTTTTGTATATATTCAAAAGATGGTTCTATTTCTTTTTTTAATGAACTATCTTACCCAAACCTTTTCCCATTTTTTTTAAAAAGATTTTATTTTTTTGAGAGAGAACGAGAAGGAAAGCATGAATGGGGCTGAGGGACAGAGAGAGAGGAGAAGCAGACTTCCCTCTGAGCTGGGAGCCTGACTCCAGGATCCATCCAAGGACCCTGGGATCAGGACCTAAGCTGAAGGCAGACTCTTAACTGACTGAACTACTCAGGCGCCACTCCCCATTTTTCAATTAAGTTTCTCTCTCTTTTTAAAATTTTATTTATTTGACAGGAAAAGGAAACACAAGCAGGGGAAGTGACAAGCACAGGGAGAGGGAGAAGCAGGCTCCCCACTGAGCAGAGAGCCTGATGCAGGACCCTGGGATCCTGAACAGAGCCAAGGCAGCCGCTTAACTGACAGAGCCACCCAGGAACCCCTAAGTTTTTATTTTCTTAGGATTTGTAGGAACACCATAAGTAGTAAGGAAAAAAGTCCTGTAGCTCTGATATGAACTGCAAATAACCCCCTTGCTCGTCATTTGCCTTTGACTGCTCATGGTTTGTTTTGTAATTAAAAACTTTTTATGTAGTCAAATTCATCAATCTTTTAGGATTCTGGGTTCTGTGTTATAGCTGGAAAGGCCTCCTCTTGCCCCAGAATTATTTTAAACTTCTTCCATAGTTTCTTCTACTGCTGCATTGGTGTGATTTTTACATTTAAATATTTAGTCCAGCTAGAATTTACCCTGAAACAGAGAATGTCAGAATGGGTAAAAAAGCCACACATAATCATACAATGTTTACAAGAAACACACTTTAAACATAAGGACACAAACAAGCCAAGAGGAACTGGATGGAAAAACATGCATACATTTAAATGTAAGAAAGCTCACATGGCTACATTATTATTAGACAAAGTAGTGTTCAAGATGAAGGGAAAAGACAGACACTTGTTGCTCTCTGTGCCGTTTATTATATGTCAGTGCTTTTTAAAATTTTTTATTTAAATTCCAGCTAGTTAACATACAGTGTAATATTAGTTTCAGGTATACAATCTAGTGATTCAACACTTCCATACATTACCACCTGCTCATACAACAACCCCTTGCTTATCACAAGTGCCCTCCTCAATCCCCATCACCTGTTTAGCCCATCTCCCTCCCATCTCCCCCCTGGTAACCATCAGTTTCTTCTTTAAAGTTGAGAATCTGTTTCTTGGTTTGCCTCTTTCTCTTCGAAAAAGATAGGCATTTAAAAATTATGAAAGTCACTCACTCAAAACAACAAAACAATTTTAACTGTATATGCACCTAATAAATGAATACTATTAACTGACATTTATAGACCTTTCATCCAACAACAGCAAAATACGTATTTTACTTAACTGCAGATGGACCATTCACCAAGCCAGACCAACATAAATATTGACCCAATATTTCTAAGGATGAAATCTTACAGAATATGTTATTCCATCAAATGGATTTAAGTTAGAAATTTGTAACAAAAAGAAACCTAGAAAATTCCCATATATGGAAATTAAATAATACACTACTAAAAAATCTAAAGATCAAAAAAGAACTCACAAGGTAAGTTAGAAAATACTTCACACTAAATAAAAAAGGAAATAAACATCAAAATCTGTGACATGTAACTAAATCCTTAGAGAATATGTACTGCTTTAAATGCTCATATTAGAAAAGGTGTAAAACCAATGATTTCTACTTCTATCTGAAAAAGGTAACAGACAATGAGATACTATATATATATATATATATATATATATATGTACATAAAATTCATAATAAAACAAGAGAAATAAACAAAATTTTTTAAAAACAACCAACAGAAGAAATTAACAAAGCCAGAGTTCATAGAAAGTTAATAAAACCAATAAACTCTTTAAAAAATTGAGCAAGAAAAAATGGGGGAAACAAATGATCAATATCAGAAACAAAGGAACATACACAGATCTTACAGACATTAAAAGGATAGTAAGAGGATAATATAAACAGTTTTATGTCAGTAAACTTGATAACATAAATTAATTTTAAAATCTGGTCAAAAATTACCAAAAGTGACCTAAGGAGAAATACAAAACTTTAATAGCCTTTTATCATTTAATGAAATTTAACTCCTAATTCATAGTCCCTCTTACTCCATTATATTCCCCACCAACACACACAAAATCCCAACCCTGATGGCTTCTATCAAACATTTTAAGGATGAAATAATACCAATTCTACCCAATCCAAAAAATAAAGTAAAAAGAAAAAGAATATTTTCCAACTCATTTTATAAGGCCTCTATCACCCTGATGACTAAAGCATTTTAAGAAAGTTATAAACCAAAAACCTTATGAGCACAAAACCAAAAATTTTTAATAAAATGTTAGCAAATCCAACTCAGTGATATATCGAAAGGTTAATATTCAAATGAGGTTTAACCCAGGAATGTATGTTTGGTTTAACAGATGTGAATACAGTGTAGTATTACTGCTGTAACAGATGTAGAAAAAGTATTTGGTAAATTATAACACTAGGCTATAATGGAACCTTTTGAAAAATTAGGAATAACAGAAAATTTCCTTGACCCAATAAAGATATAAGCAAACCCTAGTGAGCATCATAATTAGTGGTAAAATAAATGTAAAGAATGGCAATAAGGTATAGAAACAACCTAAGTGTCTATCAATGGATGAATGATAATGATAGTGAACAACATGGGCTTGAATTATGCAAGTCCACTTACTCGTGCCTTTTTTTTCAGTAAATATATTGAAGAATATTTTGGAGATTTGCAACAATTTGAAAAATCCTGTAAACAAATCATGAAGCTTAGAAACCCTGAAGGAAAATTAAGAAAAGGTTGGGCATCTCATGAAGGCATAATATATATTTAGAAATGAGATGATTCTACCACTTACTACCATAAAAGAAACAAATCTATTATAAAAAGTTAAAATTTATCAATACTTATACACACATAAACCAAATATGGTAGCATTCACAGTTAAGAAAAATGCAAATGAGTGAAAGATGCAGTATTAAATCATAACTGCATAAAATTGTAGTAATACTGTACCACTGTTAATAATTTCATAGCCATCTCCTGTAGCTACTATTGCAGTGAGCTCAAGTGTTGGAAGTATCTGCTTAAAATGCTATGTGATACTAATCATTCTACATAAACAGTTCCTTTCTCCAGGAAATTGTGTACCACAAAAAGCTATCTCTCACAGTTCTCACATATTTTTTTATTTTGTGCAATACTGTACATCCTGAATTAAACCACGGGACCCATACAAAGTACCACCAGTCATGCTGGAAGTGCTCCCAAGAACCACAGAAAAGTCATGTCATTAGACGAAAAAGTTGAATTACTTGATAGTATCACAGATTTGAGATCTGCAGTTATGGATGTCTACCATTTCAAGATAAATGAATGCAGTATAAGGGCCATTGTGAAAAAATAAAAGGTAATTCATGAAGCCATTGTTGTAGTTACACCAGCAGGCAAGAAAATCTTGTACTTTTCATGAAATACCTTTTTACCTCATACTGAAAATGTAGCTTCTGTGTGGGTGCAGAATTGCTATAAAAAGGCATTCCTATAGTATAGATTCTAACATGATTC